GCGCACAGATTCTAAGTTTTTCTCTTGGGTTCGACCGTTAAACTCACAGAGTGACAAGTGGTAAAGTGAATCCCGAAATCTGAATTTTAAGTGATGCAAGACGCCTAGAGGAGCCCTATATATACCTAGGACCCCGCTCCGCCTCCTTTGTTTTTCGGGAGGCGCAGCTCGGGAAAAAATGTTATCGGGGTGACCCTTCAAATCCGGAGGTGCTGAGTTTCATGCGGCGTTGACAGCCGATAGATAAGGTCCTCGCCTAGTTTTGACGTGTGCCGAATTTATTAATGAATTTTATCTTTTGAGACCGGAAGGGTCTTTTCTTAAGAACTCACACGTGGGACCAGGCGGCGATCTTTTCTATTTACTTAATTGTAGGGTAATGGGGTTATCGGGATGACCCTTCAAATCCGGAGCTGTCGAGTTTCACGCGACGTTGACAGCTGATAGATAAGGTCCTCGCCTAGTTTTGACGTGTGCCGAATTTATTAATGAATTTAATCTTTTGAGACCGGAAGGGTCTCTTATCTAAAAACTCACACGTGGGACCAGGCGGCGATCTTTTCTATTTACTTAATTGTAGGGTAATGGGGTTATCGCTAAAAGATTTCTTTATTTGACGGCTCTCGCGCGTCCGCGTCTTGGAACGCAGGAAGTCTTAAGGGGTTACATACACTTGCAGCGCAAAAGATGACGACATTTTCACGATTTTTTTTCGACAGCAAAATAAAAATTTATTTAAAAACTATCAATGGTATCATTTAGTAGATGTTTTGGAGTACATGTCAAATTTTTTTTGTTAAAAAATATTTAAAAATGGCGGAACTGCAGCTGTTGCCCTGCAGGAGCGCCTAGTTTTCAGAGGGGGACAAGATTACTCGAGAACGGATCATCTGAAATCAAAATGTAAGAAAATCTCGTTAGTATATTGTATTATTTAGTAGATGAACGAAGGATTTGTCAAAATTTCAATTATAAAAAAATGGCAACGGTTTAAACAAAAAGTTTATTTTTCAAGATGTTAAATTTTCGAGTTTTTTGCCGTAAAAAAATTTTTTTTGATTAAACTGAAAATCCTTCGTTCATCTACTAGATAATACAATATACTAACGAAATCTTTTTACATTTTGATTTTAGATGATCCGTTCTCGAGTAATCTTGTCCACCGCAAGTGATGTTGAAAACTAAGCGCTCCAGGGCAACAGCTGCGCAGTTCCGCCATTTTAAAATATTTTTTAACAAAAAAAATTTGACATGTACTCCAAAACATGTACTAAATGATACCATTAATAGTTTTTAAATAAATTTTTATTTTGCTGTCGAAAAAAAAATCGTGAGAATATCATCATTTTTCGTGCTGCGAGTGTATATACCCCTTAATCTGTGCACTCACAACTTTTTTTGGTGATACAACTTGCACGTTGATACTGATTCGTCATCTTTCAATATAAACTTTATCTTGACATCAATTTTATGTGTTTTTATTTCAATCTCAAATATTTTAGGCAGATTATTGCTAGCTTCTTTTATTGAGACAATAATTAGTTTGATTGTAGTCCCACTTTAATAATCACCTTGAATTTGTCGGTTGTCCAAAAAGTTGGTACCAATGAGAAATGAATAGGGAATTATTGTATCTGAGATCACGTAAATACAGCTCGGATAGTGGCGACCGTCGATAGTAATTTTCTTCAGAATGACCTAAAAAATCGCTCGTTTTTTGGGGCCTCGATTTTGAGATTGAATTGTGTGCCAAATGATACCTTATAATAAGACATTAATTATAGAGAAGTTTCAAGTTGAGGTGACAATTGTTGTGAGTTGGAGGAGAGAAGGGGAATGAAATCAAAGTTTATTAAGGAATTAT